GGGAGAGTTGCTAGAAAAACTAGAAAGGTATTAATCAGAAGTGGCTATAAATCCTCTGGAGTTTTGCTCTTATAAAACTCCTCAGAGAAAGTCTTGAAGGAAATGCAGGTCAAAGCCCAAAAAAGCTCTTGATCAGAGATTGCTGGAGGAAAATCTTCCCAGACGCGGTTTAATAGGCAGCAATCACCCCAGGAGTGGGGAAGCCAAGTACGCTTGAAACATGGTTGCAATTCCTAATAGGTCTTGTCACACTTAAGGCACTGCAAGCTCCATCCAACGAACAGCTGAAGCTAGCTGGCGATTCATAAAGCCAACAGTTTAAAGTTTATTATGATGAAAGCACTTAATGACAGCCATCGTAGGGGCCCATCATTTATAAAGCTGTGCTGAGTATTAGACATGTAGCATGACCACCAATTTTATGTCACAATTGCTACCATAAAATGACCTTTGGTGATTTTTGCTGCATGTGGTGGACAGCTCTTCCTTCACATTAGTGCTCTGTGGCTTTCTTTGCAGACTATTATGCTGTCTAAAGCTTATTTGGCACTGTCGTGAGCCTCAACCCTTGTTATTACCCCAAAGGCCTGTCTAAAAAAAAAAAAAAAAAGAAAAAAAAGAAGAAGAAAAAAAAAAAAAAAAAAACAACACCTCATGCTCTATTACGCCACTCTAATAATTTACAGTTCTTACCAGCCTTGGTTAGTGTAATATTTTAATGCAAATATGCTTTACCATTGCATTTTATGTAAAAAAGAAAAAAGTTCCCATGCTTCTGGCTAGTGCAATATCCATTTGATAGGAGTTCACTGAAACCAGCCTCTTATTCCCTCATCAGTTCTCATTGAATGGGCTTGATTTTCCCTGGTCGGTTAAAACACCTCCAGGGGTGGGGAAAAAGGTTAATTAAACTTCCCTTGAGAAAGAGAGATTGTTTTTTAAGATCCAATGTGTGATAAACCCACCTGAGGCAGAAACACCGATTCTTATTTCCCTACATCCAGTCCCAATGCAAATTTACATCTGACTAACATTATTTAATTAGGATTCCATTTTCCAACCTGCTTTGTGTAGTTAGAAAGTGTTTGAATACACAGCCACTTTACCGCTCCCATTGCACACGCTGCTGACAAAGTAGTCTGTCCATGCTACACCACCTTTAAATTGTGTATATAATTTTATAAATGATATAAAATCTGCTTCTAGTCCCTGGGGGGAGAAAAAAACCCCACAAGCATGGCACACTGCAATTTTGGAAGGATTTAAAATATGTGATTTCTGCTGGTACCTACTGTATTGGGTTTTATATAAAGCTTTTTTCAATAAGGTAAATTGTTACATGACAAACTCATCTTCCACCATTATCATCTGCTGTTTGTGTTTAACAACAGGAGTCCCGCTCGAACAAAACTGTTGTAATGGCTGTACAAATTACTCAGCTGAAAGCTTTTCACCAAACAAAACAGTATTAATCAGCAGTTCTTATGAAGGTGCTAATTAAAAACAATTTTCTTCCTCAGTTTGCAATACTAAAGCCATCTTCACTTGCACAGTCTCCAATATGCAGTGACTGTATTTGCTCACACTTCAGGCTCTCCATTAACTATTGAATCTCCTATTAGCCATTTTATTACATTTCTGTTTACAAGCTTGTTGACATTTTAAAAGTCACAGTATGATCTGTTTTATCTATTAAAAAACGTATTAATTGAAAAATCAGGGGGGCAAAAAAGGCAAACTCTACACTCCCAAGTACACAGACTTCCAGGGCAGAGGACAAGGTGAACAGTCTTGGGCAGTAAGTAAGATCTCCAGGTAAAATGAAATCAGAGAACTGAAAGTGGCTTTTTAGGCACAACTTTTTGGTAAACACCCACAGACTTCCCACTAATTTGGAAATTTTCCTTGCAGGAAAACATCTGCCTTCTGTCTACATTCAGTGTCTTGGGAGACCCAATCTGAGTTCCCAGTCAGTCCTTCCTCTCTGGGAGACACTGAGCCTCATGATGACGTTTCCTCTAGTCTGGACTCGGGAGGTTTTGATCTGGCGGGGCGTGTACCTGACATCTGGGACCAGCCGGAGATGGAGTTTAAACGGCCGCATCCTCCCTGGGAGTGTGTGTACATGAGGGCACGTCTACCTAAACTTTTATTTCCCCTCCTCACTCCCACCCCCTCCCCCGCTGGCATCCTGTCCCCCCTGGCACGACCCCCCCACCCCACAAGAGTCCGATGAAAAGGTCCTGCCAGACAATGCCGCCAAGTTGTTTGGCATAGATTGGAAACAAGTTAAATGCTGACTAATCACAAAGAAGCTGGGTTAAGGGAAAGGGATAGGCCATTCTTATTTAAAAATAAAGTTGAACTCTTAGAAGATATACTCTACTTTGGTAATGAGGAAAATGGAAGGGGAAAAAAAAGCCACCACCACAACCTCCTGCCTATGGTATTAAAACCAAGTTCTTCAGCCGTCAAAAGCAGTTAACTAGTTTAGGACAGACACCTGGCTGTTGAAATAGGGCTCCAGAGGGTCACTAATCCTTCCATTCACTCAGTTAACTGCTGGATCCCCCAAATTGATTCAACAGGTATGCAGTGGTAAATCCAACCCATACTGAAGCCAAAGGGAAAATCAGCAAGGGGCGGGAGCTCTTCTCTGAAAACACCCGAGGAACCAGCCAGAAAAGCTTTTATGGCCCCGACAAGTTTTCTGCTGAATACTGAGCACCTAAATTACCCTTCCCTAATGGAAGTTACATTTTCATGCTCAGTCAAAAAGCCAACAAAATACACAATTTATACAAAATAGCATCAACCTCTTAGGTAGTCTTTTCTAGCACTTTTATCCCAATTCACAGCATATGTCTTGCTATAAAATAAAATATATTTCTTATAACCAACTTGTATGTGGCTGTTCATATCACTCCTTTGAACTGACCATGGGCAGCATTAGAAATATTCTTACGTCCAACCTACCTTACTTAATGTGACAAAGGGAAATCACGAGTTTTATCAGAAGATACAGGTACACAGGGAAGAAGCATATAATAAATAATTTTTATGATTTCCTAGATAGACAGGATTCCTTTTGAAACAAACATATGGACAATTATGTACATAATTATGGAATGGGCATTTCAATTGCCAATGACATAAGACCAATACTGATTCATAGAAATAATTCTTAATCATGAAGTTCAAAAAATAACGCATGGATAAACTTTCTAAAGTAACGCTATTTTCCTTTCTCAATACTGTCATTTCTTTATCATTTGAGAAAATAAAAACAATTTCAGGTCATTTAGTACATCTTAGTTTCTTAAAAACTTTCAAAGAGCCTAGACTGAAGATATTTCCTAAGTGAAGCTCCCGTAAAGAGCAGGTCTACAAAACTCTTAACATTTTACAGGAGATTCTCTAGGTTTTAATCATACAACAAATGTATTTCTTTACAAGATGTCACTTTGTAGGAATATTGCAATTCTTATCCTCACACTATTTTTAGATATTAAAATTACTAGTTTACTTTTAAAAATACAATTTCTCCCAGAAAAATAAACACTGGAATTCTACAGTCACAACACTTGCATGCAAATTGAATTCTGATCAATTCATGTATTTTCATAAGAAAAAAAATGCAGATATGTTCATGGGTCTGCTATTCTGTTTAAAAGCAAAAAAAAATAGACCATCTTAGGTACGACTATAGGGATGGCTTTCCTTTGTCTGGCAGATTTAGTTGCAGGTTTTACAGAAAAATAATTTCTGCTGTATTTTCAGCAGTAGAAATGGAACTACCTGTGTTGCCTTTTAAGACATTTCAAATCCTAATTTTTAAACAAGAAAATATGAAGCCAGTGTGCAACCTCTACAGTCTCCAAAGGAGAGCTGTCACTAGCTGAACTACTCAGCTAAATGGCTGGTTTGCATTGCCCTGGGCTTTATCTAGCACTGAGAATAGACTGCTGTTTTATCCAAAGAGGAATAAATTGCTGTTATTGTGATGTTAGCCCATCACTTGGCATTGCAATTCAAGTTTTTGTGAGAAAGAAATGTATGATCTAACTGCGACTTGACCTATGCCTTCCGAGATTCATCTAGGTGCTCTAATGGAGCAGAAAAAGTGGTGAATACAAGGACATGCAAACTGATAGTGAAAAATTTGTTTGATGATAGAAGTGAGCAGAGAAGATATTTAAGAGTTGCTGTTTTTATAACAGCTAAGTTTGTTTAACATGCAAAAGAATTCACCCCCCCCCTGGCCTCCCACCTATCACTTGAATTGTATACACGTTTTGCCTCTACTGAAGCTATGAGGCTACAGAGTTAACCTACTAATGACATTACTGCTAAAGTGGGCACAGATGATTCCTTACAGATAAACATCTGAATTTCCACAAAAGGCATTAGAGCAAATTCGGGGGATGCATGAGGCAAGGCTTGGGTTCCCTGCAGAAGTCATTCTCTCCTAATCCTTGGTAGCACCTGTGAAATGTTTACTATGCCCTTGAATCACAGCATATAACAATATATGCCGACTTTAAATAAGGTAATTGTACGACTGAGATTTTAAAAATTCCTCCCTGGTCGCCATCTAGTTTATCAATCATTTGTTCAAAATTTCTCTGGAAAGGACCTATTTTGAAAGAGGTCTAGAGAACAGCAGCAGTTAGATTTGAGCCCTGATAAAGGCTCACTTTTCATTCATAGTCAGAGCCTAAATGTGCTCTTCTTGTACCTAAACAGATAATAAGCACTCAGCACACTCCTCCTCCTTGACACAACACATTGAGACTAATCACACATAATTGGAGAGGAGGAGCAGAGGGCTGGCCACGCTATTGTGTCCAGAGGACAAACGGTCAGTTTATGAGGCTTTGGGCTGATGTAGTCATTTCTTATACATCTATAGGGGAAAAAACATCCTGTTTAAAAGGAAAAAGAGAATGAGTGAGAGAGAAAAAAAGATGGCAGACTTAACACAATTAATTTGAGGGAGA